TTAAGCGCCGGATCTTGTAACGTTCCCGCCTCCAAATCGCTCTCATTGGTCAGAACCGAAACACTTACTAAACAAAGTGAACCTACTGAACAAACTCACAAACTATAGTGAACCTCCTGAACACACTTACTAAACAAAATGAACCATGTGAACCGAACCTAATCCTTAGTTAACCTCCTGAACCCAACCAAAACCTGATTGAACCAACTGAACCCAACCGAAAAGTAAGCGAACCGAATGAACCCAAGCAAAACCTTACTGAACCAGCCGAACCTAACCTAATCCTTAGTGAACTGACTGAACCTAACCTAAACCTGATTGAACCAACTGAACCCAACCGAAAAGTTAGCGAACCGACTGAACCCAACCGAAAAGTAAACGAACCGACTGAACTCAACCAAAACCTTACTGAACCAGCCAAACCCAACCTAATTTCAGAGAACCGACTGAACCCATCTTAATCATTCATGAATGGACAGAATCCAACTGAACCCAACCGAAACTTTAGTGAACCAGCTGAACCCAAACCATATTGAACGAAATGAATCTAACCCAATCGTTGTTGTACCAAGTCAACTCAATCGAAACATTAGTGAACCGACAGAACCCAACCAAAACCGAGTGAATCTACTGAACGACCTTATTAAACCAACTAAATCAGCTAAACGCACTTATTAAGCGAAGTGTACCTACTGAACCAATTTAATGCGTAACATAACCGCAAGAGAGCAAGTGGCGCAACGTAACCACAAGAGAGTGAGCGGCGTAACGTAACCATAAAAGAATAAGCGGCACAATATAACTACAAGATAGTGAACGGCGTAACGTAACCACAAGAGAGTAAGCGGTGCAATGTAACCGCAGGAAAGTGAGTGGCGTAACGTGACCACAAGAGAGTGAACGGCGCAAACCGCGCAACGTAACCGCAAGACAGCAAACGGCAAAACGTAACCAAAAGAGACTGAACGGCCTTACGTAACCACAAGTGAGCGGCGTGACGTAATCGCAAGTTTGCGAGCGGTGTAAAGTAACCCCAAGGAAATAAGCGGCCCAACGTAACCAGCAGAAATTGTGCGGCGTAACATAACCACAAGAGTGTGAACGCCGTAATGTAACCACGAGAGATCAAGTGGCGCAAAGTAAGCACAAGAAATAAAGCAGCGTAAGGTAACCACAAGAGAGTGAGCGGCGTAACGTAACCGCAAAAGAGTTAGCAGCGAAAAGTAACCACGAGAGATCAAGTGGCGCAAAGTAAGCACAAGAAATAGAGCAGCGTGACGTAACCACAACAAAGTAAGCGGCGTAGCGTAACCACAAGAGTACGAGCAGCGTAACGTAAACACAACAGAGTGAGCACCGTAACTTAACCACAAGAGAGTAGGCGGCGTAACGTGAGCAGAGGCAAGTAAGCGTTGTATAGTAACCACAAGAGAGTGAGCGGCACAAAGTAACCACAAGAGAGTGAGCTGAGCTGTAAGGTAACCACAAAGGGAGTTAGCAGCGCAAGTAACCACAAGAAAGTCAGCGGGGCAAAGTAACCACAAGAGAGCAAGCGGCGTAACGTAACCACAAGAGAATTAGCGCAAAGTAACCACAAGAGAGTGAGCGGCGCAAAGTAACCACAAGAGAGTAAGCGGCGCAAAGTAACCACAAGAGAGTGAGCAGCGCAAAGTATTTATAAGTGAGTAAGCGGCGTAACGAGAGCAAGCGAGAATTAGCGGCGTAACGTAACCGAGCGAGACTAAGACATATAACGCAAGCGCGCGAAAGTTAGCAGCGCAACGTTACCACGCGACAGTAAGGAACCACACAAGAGTAAAGGCGGCGCCGCAACCTTCGGTGGAAACCGCGGCGCGTAGCGCCGCGGTCGTTGCTAGTTATTATTACTTTTTTCGTCACTGCATGGACATTTCATAACATAATGATTTAGACTTAATGTACAGGATTTCGTACTTAATGCAGTATAATTTTATTTATGTACGTATCTATATAATCTGCGATTCTGCACCCTCGTTGCGCTAATATTCCGTTTACATAACACTCTTTTATTTTTGCATTCTCATCGTCATCGTTGATAATTTCAGTTCAATAGCGCAGATTCTGTTTTATGGTAGGCTAATTGCCAGATTAACAGCGGCCTTATAAGGCTCTTCTTTTATTTACCGGGAAAATCAATACCGTATTCCGCTATCAGCGTCGTTCCGCTTTCCCTCGCTGCCTTTTATGTATAACCAGTGCGTAGTAGGAGGCTTATCAGGGTCAGGAAGCGGAAGTTGACCGGTTTACTGTCCTTGTGTCGCGACATGAACATCCGCGCACCGGTAAGACTCGTGTGATTGACTTGGCGATAATGTTTCTGGATATCTCTTAACCTATATGATCGTACCATTCCCATCACAAGACTTGTATAAAATCGCTGCAATCAAAATAAAAATCCGGAAAGATTTGAATAGTTGTGTTGGGCTGTACTTTCTAGTTGCTTTGCGGACAGCCGATTGTTTCTAATTTTTTTAAAATGGAGAATACCACAGACGCATGCGGTCTCCCTGTGCTCAGTTACACTATCAAGAATGCCGCCTTGCGGCGCCAGACGCTGTGTCTTCTTTCCAAGGATGAATGGACGACCTACACGTTCCTCGTGCTTTTGTTCATGGGATCATTGGGAAACGGATTTGGTATCCATATTCTGCTGCGTAAATTCCGCAGGAAGACCAAGAAAGACCAGGGAGTCGCTGCACGCCGGTTGAGCAGCCGGGAGATATTTCTAATGGCATACTTGACCATCCACTTCCTGTTTTTGTAAGTTTATTACAGTGGCGAAATTATTATCGGAATTTGTGGTAGCAGACGGCTTTCCTTGTGCATATGGAATCGCTTTTTGCTGCTGCTGGCGTCACACCGACTTGCGACAGCGTTCCTCTGTTTGGAGGAAGGCAATGCTCTGATACAGCACAAAATCATTTTAATCTTTCTGGAGGCCTGCATAATGCAGGTGGCCCAAGGGTATGAACAGCGACTTGGTTATTCATGGATTGCTGACAGAGGAATACAGTAAAATTTTGTAAATAAATGGCAATATTTTCTATAATTTAATCGCGCAGTGTTCCCGAGTTGCAAATACACCTACACGTTATAGGACTCTGGCGACCTTTGCGGTGGACCGTTTCCTCGCGGTCTTCGCGCCGACTCGTTATCGGAATGATCCGTGCGCATTCCGATAACGGACCGGCGCGAAGGTCGTTTTTCCGCTGGCTGGCTCTAGGCTACTTTGTTTTCGTCGGAGCATTAGTGAGCGTGCTGTTAGTTGGGCGCTATGGGAGCGTCGCTGTGATTTCTTCTCCATGGGTTGCAGACTGGATGTTGGCTTATCGCTGGATTCAGGCAAGTGACATTTCACATGGGAAATTTGCCTGATAGTTTTTCACAGCAGTGGTGCAGAATATTACCAGTCAACGTTTTACCCGTCAATGACGCAAAGGCTCTGCTTTTCGTAAGGGAAAGTGTTATATGAACATAATGACGCGCTTCGAGGCGTCAAGCAAATTGAATTCTCTTTATCATTCTTGAGTCTTGACGAAAGCTTACAACAGCATCTCGCTGACGAGCTTATAGAGAGAAGTATGTGATAACACCCTGAAGTTGTAACCGCTGGAGCGTGGTTGCGCCGTGGTAGCGGGCGATTCCCTCCCTTGGTGATTGCTGTGTTAGACCAGGCACGAAATGCATAAATAAACACGAAGAATTAATCTTGCTTAATGCACAAACACAAAACTTCGTTCATAAGGGATTACATAAATACACCAATTTATAAATGAACAAGCGAATAAACGCAGAGTTGCTTAGATTTAGCAACATAAACACACGAATGTTTTCAGTGTGACACACGGAACTTGTAATTTCAATTCCCAGTCCTAAGATCGTTAGTACCGTAAAAAATTGTATTGCTCCAGTTTACCGTTATGGCGGAGTGTAGTTTTGAGGCAAAAGTCATCGGTGGTTAGTGGATTTGGTGTGGCAAAGGCGTTTCCCATGCCGCGCAGTGCGTCGGCATTTGCAGTCACTCAAGTGACAACTATGATACAACCGTCCAGCAACCAGACATGCCCAAAATGGCCAAAAACACACTCCGATAATGCAGTATATCGAGGCCAAGCTAATCAGGTTGACGACCAAAGAGGCGTGGCTTAGGAAAAGCGAGGTCTGGAAGAAGGTGGCCTCGTACTGTGACGGCCCGAAAGCGACTTCGATGATTGCTGAACGGCACGTGACAGCCGGAACCAGATAACATAAAGTAGCGTTGCTAACGGTGAGCGCAGAGTAATGGATAGGGATACCATTACACCAGTTTCGTGTGAGAAAAAGTAAGCGTCTGCGATGCGGCGTGTCCGTTGGAAGCACGCACTGACGCCTGTTCATTGAGTGGCGATGGAAACGGCCGCGGCTAAGATCACCATTTAACCAAACTCGGAAGTGGGAACAGGTGTTCATGAAACTGTTCAGCGTTCCGATTAGATGGTTGAGGAGCAACAGAGTAGCCCCGAGGCAGAGACACAGGCGGCCGAAAACGATTAAGGTCACGATCCACAAATACGAAATAATCGTCGAGAATACGGATGCGTCGATAGTGCCCGCGGTTAAGGGGCGCAGTCCGCTGATTTTAAGTCAGAGCACCGAAAATATTATACAGACATCGGAGGCTGTACTGCAGTTTCGTGTGATGTTTTTTTATGACGGATAATGCGTTGGTGATCATGAATTTGCCGATATGACGAAGAGTGCATGTTTCGATAAATATAAAGTCTGCAGCGGGCGGTCTCGTGGGTGCGTCACACTTTTATGTTCGATGAAGGAAAGCAGGGATGCCTGCAATGGTAGTTTCCGGAATCAGTGAGTTGCTATGCAAGACACATGTGGGACATTGATGTACACAGTGATCGCGTAATCGATGAACGGTAATACTCACTTTGCTTTAAGCTAATTTGCACAAGTATTTTTGCGTGTTTCAAATATGAGAAATGATTTGGAATGTATCCCTAAGAACCAGTACACATCGTGCGTAAGAATTTTCGTGCAGCTAAGCATATATAATTTGCAACTTAATTATCATCGACGCATTATGGTTCCTGTCTGACAAGAGCGGCACTGGCGTTGTTATGCAAATACTTGTCCATCATTCCGTAATCAGGAATTCGCCAGAGATTCCAATATTTGTCGGTGCCCATTTCCGGATACGTCAAGGTAAACTCGAATTTCTCGACTGTTTCCCTGTAAATCATACATATATTACTGTATATGGGCCATTCGATGCCGAAATAAACGTTATTCTGTAGACTGTAATAGAAAACTTGCCCTTGAGGCAGCACAAAGTCAGCGGAATGTCCGGTGAGTGTGACGTTCAAGTACACATCATCCACAGTTAGCGGATTGGCGTCAGCAAAGGCCTTACCAACCGCCGCAAGAACAGCGTCGGCATTCTGGAAATAAGGAAAGATAATCCCGAATTCGTTAGGTGACACGCTTGGTTTACTGTTGCATGAAAAAACTGTTTCCTTATCAAATATAATCCGCCATCATTCGTTTCACTTTCCGCGGATGGAGGAAAAAAGTCTGCTACAGCTTTTCTCAAATACAGCGACAAAGTACGGGGTATAGGACAGCTGGCTGATCCGGGTAATGACTGGTTGACGCACGTTGCCGGTGCCAAGCGAGATTTCGGCTGACGGGTGAAGCTGACGGCAGATTTCGCTGCAGAGATAGGATCTGATGTCTGTGGGGAGAATTGTCGGTGCTCCAGGGCATCATAGATTCGTTGGCCCAGCAGCGACGCCGGATCCACCATGGCTCCATCGCGCATATACAAAAAGTCGATCACGGTGCCGTTGAGGACAGGATTGCAGACGTGGACATCTAACAAGAAGGGCGCTTATGCGGTACCCGCTATCACACTGTAAAAGATCTCATCGTCTTTTCAGATTTGTATGCATTATCCTAGAAACCATTAATTTATGTGCGCACGGACAAAGAGTTATAAACGCAAAAGGCAAGTTAATATCCGATAATCATGAAGCTATGCTTCACCAGTTTCTATGAAAACCATCCTTAATCAAGAGCAGATGTTTTCTTCGAATTTCCAAAGTTTACAATTGAAAATCAATAATTATTAGGACGAAGCTTTAATAATCGCTGATAGTTCAATAAATATGAATTAAATATTCATAAGTAAATCAGTTCTTTGTAATATTGCCAGAAATTGTTTGATTTAGGATCGCTTCATTATGAAGCGAAAAAACATATATGAAGCCTTCATATATGTTTTTTATAGCAGAGTTTCTAGAAGATGGGCGTCTAACACCTGAAGCCGAGTATCGCTGCGTGCGTACGTAAACCAATCATTCCAAGAATTAAACCCAGCTATGTACTATGACTGATTTCTTACCAGCCTTACCATCAGTTAACCAAAGTTGGATGAACTTTTCAAAAGCCGGCAATAGCTGATAATTGATCGGCGGATCCGGGTAGACACGAAAGAGATACATGTCGTTTAACTGGACGGTGTTCCTACAATAAATCGGGCGTTTAAATTATGGTATGCGATGAGTTCACGTACAATATGCAGTCGCGTAACTGGAAGTCAGCAAACCGCCATATGTGCTCGATGCGACCTCGGGTCGAGATGGGCGCCGTAACAGCAATGTCGAAGCGGGTGACCGTGTACCTATTGGTAAAGTAAACGCTAACTGATTTAATTCCAACCATGGCACAATTTAGCAAAAGCGGAGTACCCTCGCACGGTTCGCAACTCCTTAAGTTCCGTGCGGCTCGTTATGGTAATCTGATATTGTATTCCCTCCAGTTTTACTGGATTACTTGCGGACAACGCGCTGGTGACCTCTGACAGAATGCTTTCATTGGACTGCAAAGGGATATAATTAATCACAAACGCAAATTAAGGAAAAATTATTAACTAACAACTACTAGAGCATCAATTTTAAAATGCATGATAATAGTTATAAAACTTGACGTTTTTTGCATTTGCGAAACTTTCACAATATGGATTCGCTACCGGACACCAGAGACACGGTACTCCCTGCGTTGTGCCACAGTAAATAACCTGCTATTTTTTTCCTGAATCTCGTGTACAAGGTTGTATAAAAACAGTACTTATCACGTAATGAAATTGTAAAGTTTTTGTTATGCAGACCAACATGGAGAATACCGTGCCTCTGGTGCCCGGTACGCGAATCCCAGTAGTGAAATTGTCGAAGGAAAAAACGTCCATGTATTGATAGTAATGTATACTAATGTTCAAGGCAGTTAATGATTGAAATTCTATACCAGTGTTTGATTTGGTGGTGCCAGGTAATGCAGCGCAAAAGCATCACGTAACGGGCAGCCAGAGTATGTGAAATCAAAGAATTTCCGTCCCTCTTTGCAGTCCGCTTGAAAGGCCTCCCACTCGGTGTCGTTTCTACGGGCGGGTGGTGTGCGGGACAGAATGCCGTCAGCAGGCCCGAAATTCGTCTGTTCTTCTTTAAGATAGTACCGCCCGGCTTCCAGCCGTTCGTATAGCCCGTCCGCATATAACATTCGGGAATCCAGATCAGTATACCGGTCGTACTGATCCGTCATGCGGACAAAGAAATTGATGGCGGTACCGTTCTCCACGTCCGGATTCCACAATATCACCACCACCTTCTTCGGCAGGATCTCCGCTATGGTAAATACAAAACGGTTGTACGGCTTTTTCTTTTTTAGAAGTACCGAAATGAGCATATAAAAAAATTGTGAAATAAAAATTGAAAAACTTATTTACGGAAAAGCCCGGCGTGAGACCAGGCCGCTGCGAGGAGACGTGCTTTGGTTAATCCACTTTCCAGTTGACGGACCATCTGCGTTTGAAGGTTGGGCAGACGCTGCATGTTGACCGGTTCCGGTGCATATAGACGGAAGGAGAATTCCGGATCGGCGGCGTAGAAACCGCTATCGATTTTCTCGCCTACTTGTGGGAAATCGGACTGCACGTATATCCTATCGTCCACAAAAGGGGCGAAGTTGACGTAGGTCATATCCGAGCTGAAAAAGAGGAGCAGTTTTCGATCTTTGTGCAAAATTCGGGAATAACGTAAGGAACGCTTCAAAAGAGACGGTACGGAATACAGATTGCGAAATACATCCGACGATACGTTAAATAAATTTCGACAAACGTTTTTGGAAGTCTTTTTGATATTATACAATGAATTGTAATAGGTATTATATTTAACATTTAAAAAATTATTATAAATGAAGGTGGATACAATAAATTCCGAAACTTGCACAATTCATTTTCAGATATCAGAGAAACAACTACAGTCGTCTCCTGGGATGCGTGCGATGTAATGGGCCGTCTCGCTTAGTTTGTGAGGTAACGAACAATGCAACCTACCCGGTTTTATAAGGACCCTGAGGCTGGGTGTCAGGCAAGCGCACGCGTGGATGTATGCCGGCAATGCGCACGTCCACTTTCCCCCTTTGCACACACGGTGGATCTGAGCCGTTGGGCATAGCTTCCATGTTGCGCTGTGCGTCGCCTCGGATACGGTCCAGATTAAGCGGGCTTGGAGGGTCTCGTATCAGAGCTTTCACAGCCCAAATTACGGTCTGATCGTAGACATTAATGCCTTTCTCCGACAGTTTCTCTATGAACTGTTCCTGGTGCGGAGGTGATATTCGCAATCTTGGAATCCTGCTCTCAGACGACCACCGAGCACCATCAGTCTGATTGGAGGCGTTTGACATGACGATGGTGTACAGTATGCGTGCCACCGGCAACCTGCAATAATATTGCACCCAAAGTTTCTTCTAACCTGGCAGTACATTCTGCGTGATAAACCGAAAATACGACACATTTCGTTACGCAAATACCCGGTCACGGTCAACGTGTCCCCGGAATTAAGAAAGGTCACTAAGCGTACGTGCGGTGAGTCGGTGGGTGATGCACTCGGACTCGCGGCGTATTCGTCTGTAAATATGGTGACTATGATTAGAAAGGCATTCTTGTGCTAAATGTGGGCCACGCTGGATTTCGGGTATGGATTTGCATTAGTGAAAACTTGAAACTGTATTACTTGACTAAGTAGGTTTGGATTGTTTAACTTGGGATTGGATATTTTAAAGCAGCATTACTAATTTTCAAATCATATTCCTTAACTTGGATTTGTAAACTCATTTCTTAGTTTCTGAGGTTTTAGGTTAAGCCTTACGCTCTTTCGACTTTTTAAGTTTGTAAAGCTTCTAAGATTTTTAAGGTTGTTTTTAAGCTTCCAGAAGTTCCTTAAAAAAGTCGAACAAATTCAAAACCCACAGAAACTTAAGAAGGCCTATAGCAAAAACGACCTTATAAGCTAAAATCCCCTGCAAAACTAATAAATTTGGTTAACCGTGTGTTACTGTAATTCTTTACCGAAGGCCGACTTCCATGCATAGTTCAGAGCAGCCTCGATTTCCGACACCGAGAGATTCATCGAGTGAACTGTCACTCCGTGGTAGCCCATACGATACGGTGGTAGCGTAATCAGTTTCTCAAACGCACTCAGCTGCCAAATCAGTTGCAAAGCGAGAGGCACGTTGTTCCGCTGCACATAGAACCCGACGCCCTCGCCATCCAGTTGCGGCAGTGTGTTTACCGCCGTTTTCGCTGTACCTGACGACTGTGCTGTGTTGTTCTCGGAACACAAGCTGAACGCGATGCGGGTGTCGTTGATGACTACAGCCAAGAGATTTTATGAAAAAAATAAATAGTGCAGCCAATCAGCACACAGCTGAGTGAAGATTCGCTTACGTAAGGCGGACTGCTGATGAGCGGATGGAATTTTTAGGTTGTTTGCGGTTCGTACATGGCACTGCACTACTGCCGCTAACATCAGCAGTAGCAACGGACATCGTAACATGAACATGATGATTCGGGGATTAAGAACAGTAAAACGCCGACGCGATCGTAGAACAACAAAGTACAATTAATACGCTGTTTATATGTGAATGCTGCTATTTGAGCCTTACCATGGTGGTATTGGCAATGCCCGATTTGTAGCAGGACTGATTGTGAACAGGTAGGACAAAATATTGAAACGGTATGTAGGACGAACATGACTGTGCATAACGCCAACTTTCCCACTGACAGCGACAAAAGAGTCCAATTGCCAGATTTCTTATCGTGATCGCTTTCACAGCTTTCAGCAGCCGGTTTAAGACTTTGCCTTGTTATCTAACCTTTGTCGTGTGCGGCAGTCAGTACAACGAAGCCGTTTCGGCTTTTAAATGCTTTGATACAAAAGGTCTTTTCCCTCAATGGAAGCACAAAAAAACCTGAACATACCGTCATCTGATACAGCCGCGCTTCTTCAATGTATACACATGTGTAAGTATAAAAAGAAAACCCTTGCAGCCATAATTATATGATAAAAACTGCAGCAGGTGAGCAAAAAAACCGCATGTCAAAGAGTGTGACATCCTTAAAAACTATTTTCAGCGCCAGTAAACCTGGCGCACGTGCTGATGTCTTGCTACTGTAAGGTTTCTGTGTTGGTGATAAATTAATACAATTAAATTTTATAAAACAAAAACAAACCACTAATTAGGGGTCTAACTGACCATTGGGATGCCTTCCACCACGAGCATGAGCATCGTTGCGCAGAACAACTAGTCAACGACGTGTAGAACAAGGCCTTATGTACGACAAGACCATACGAAAATTTAGTTAAACCCCGGAATTTCTGAATATATGATTGTGCCAACAAACAGCCACAGAAAATCACGCTTATCGCGAAGATTTGCCATTCGTGTGCTGCGAGATCGAGCCGCTCTTCTTCTCAACAGTTTCCTCGGTACATACAAGGATACAACTCTGCTCTATGTAGTAGCACCGGTAATGACGAATTTAATTTTTGATTCAAAATAAAGTAATTGGTTTATTTTATCCTGGACATACACACACAAGCTATTTGTGTAACAGCCAAGTTATGGAAAAGCGATGTACTCGCATCAGCAGAGGACATACACCAGCGATTTCGCAGCAGTAATTGTAGTTTTTTTCTAAGCTCCAAGAAAGCGGCGGCCTGGGGTATTCGATCACATCAATGGAGATTTTAGTTGCCGAATCCATTAATTATCTATAAACTGTACATCATCTGCAAAAAAAAAGCCAGTCAGCACATGTATAACCATTTATAAATTTTTGTGGATACGATGCAACGAATTTTTCATACCATTCCCGGTCACTTTCCACGATGGCTTTCCTTTAATACCGCGCAGGTTATCGGAGTGTGTCTGAGCACCAATATACGTCTTCCCGGCGGACGTGTCAATGGATAGACCACGGCAGTTCCAACCTTTGGCTTTGTCGTTGTCAAAAGCGCACGAGCCCAAGTATGTCTTTTTGTTCTTGGGCACATCTTTCAAAGTATCGGTAAACGTCACGGCTGTAAGAACATGCAGTAATGAATTAATAATCGGCGGCAGGCCGCAGTAACTGATACACAAAGTATTTTATAGTCAGTAGTACAGTCAGTAGTCGTAAATTAGGATGACTGTAAATAATTTATGGGGATTTTCGTAGTTTAAAATAGCCGGTTTTACCGACGCTGGTTTATGAATGATTTGTAATAATGGCTAATAATTTTTAATTTAGAATAATTATTAATAATTTATTCTAATTGAATACTACTCGCAGTCTGCCCAATTTCGACTTACCAAAGTCTTGCTTGGATTTGATGTCCCATTTGCTGGTGACGGGGGAATCGCTGCACTTATAGGAGAGGAGAGGATCGATCTTGATGTCGTCTATCTGTTTTTGCGGAATATCATTGGATGCCGGGCGGGCCTTGATTAATTTGTCGGTGTCCGCATTCGATGCGGCTGCGCATTTCTTCTGGCAGCCTTTTTCACCATTACTGTAAAACCGGCAAACGTAAGCCACCGGCGTCGCACTATCCACCAGTGCCGTAGCACAGACTGCAATAAGATCAGTGTAGTGGCTTACTGACCAACTTGTTAACTGCTGTCTAAATAACTAGCTAACTACTTGATTAACTAATTTTTCATTATAAAGCGTAAACCAGCGAAACGTTTTCTTGCTTAGATGAAGTTTTTCTTACCGCTTAAAACGACGACCATTCCGATCAGCTTTGCCATGGTATTGCAATACAGAAAACGAGGACGTCCAACGGTGAAATCGACACCAAGATAATCTTGGAAACTCAAGTGAAAACGCCGGTTTATATCGGCGAAGCGATTATGTTTTCACCGCTGCAGGGTTTTTGTTTATTCTGGATGGTCGTTATAGCTGACAAGTGGCGGTTGTATAAGACTGATAATCAGAGCCTAAAATCTTCAAAATCTATGTGAGCACACTTAATTTCGCAAAGAGGGGGGTATTGATTATTTGCTATGTATTTTCATACTTACTGACATAGCCACGACGCACGAGTGTGTATGCAGATAGAATTCGCGTTGGTAAATTCACAGAAAATTTTAGGGACATGCGTATCTAGTAAAACTGACAGTTATTGCAAAAAAAGTGAGCTGTGAAAAGGCGAAGTTGTTCGTTTTTTTGTGCAAATGGTTTGTCAGTACTACAATGGATTTTTTCGTGAATGCTTTGAGTCTGCATTAAAGCCTCGCGCGAAGCGCGAAGCCGACGGTGCTTTTTGACAAGAAAATACAAGAAATCCAATAAATTTACGTTCTTTTTTCAGAAATATTTCGGTTTGTCAAATTTGTTGAATAGATGTATATAATATATATAAAACTAGCGAAGGTTTTGTGTTGCGATTCGTTTTATCCCGTACTCTAAACATGGCAGGGGCCAGGCTGCATTGATGACCTTACGGTTGACATTCAGCAATGGTGTCCGTTTTGGACCAGGCGAACGGGTCTTTGATAAAGAGGAAGTAAACTAAAATAACCTCGAGCTTGATCGTTAAGATATTCTAATGGTTGACTGACATTCCAAGTGCTGCGACTAGCAGCTGTAAAACTATCGACAGGTAGATATCTGTATATATGCGCCACTACCCACCACGTTTAAACGTTATCATTTATACAGTAGACACTGGGCAAGTTTTAAAGTAACCATACTTCTGGCTATAACTCAAATGCACTACTGTGCATTTGTTGAACTTAGTAATAATGCTGTTTCGTAGGATGAATCCAACAGCGGAAATGAGAAAAAAGTAGATTAGCAATTTCGAAAAATGTAGTAATAAATGTGGCTATAACAAGATCCCTATAGTTTCCATTACGCAGGTGGCATTCCCTCTTAAACTCTCTCTGTAAATGAACACATTGTTGCTGGAACAACCCTTAGAATACCGCATGTCTGGCCAGAAAGGTCGTTCTCTGAGATGACTACAAGATCATCCCCGTGAAAGTTGAAGCATACGATACTTGTCCAGGAAATGACACAGTCACCGCGAGCAAATGCGCGGCTTGCGTAAATTTTAGATTTTCCACCCGACCCTGCCAACTGGAGGTCAACTAAGACAACGTAACCATTTCTCTGGGTTTGCTGATTAAAGATTGCTTTTCAGTATTATACGACCCTATGCACGCTACAAACTGCGTACGAAAAACATTTACTGTATAAGTGCTAACGGAAACAGCGCGGGTGATGTTACTACGGTCAACAAGACCACTATTGTGCACGAAAGTTCTGCAGCGAAAGAAGTGTGATTACTATGTATAAGACATGCCCACTGCCACATCTCCCACTGAAATTTAACGTTGCACGCATTGGCTTGTAGCTTTTTCTTGTTTGTTTGCGAAATTTTTTGTTCCCTCAAAAAAAAAAAGTAAAAAATCAATTTAGAAGCCGGTTAATTACACAGAAGGGGGGAGTATTGACAGTTTTCAAGCACAAGTTCCAATCTATGTGAGCACACGCACCTTTATGTGCGCACATTTTGTGCTATGTAAGCACAAGTTTTTAGGCCCTGCTGATAATTATGATAATTTGTGTAAGATGGATGGTACGCATGCTGGATTGCCTGCTGATTTAGAACCACAGCAACCGGTTCGACCGGCCGTTGTAGTTGAAAACGGAATACAGTCCGTACAAACGAGCAAACCGACTCATGGAAAAAGCGTTTTTGTTCCGGCTTTCACGTTTGTCTGCAGCCTGTTTTAGCGAAGACAGTATAATTGCAGTGCATAATCTGCTCAAAATCTTGGATAATTAATGACTTTGAGAATTTGGCACCAGCTGTAGTCAAATCCAGTCACTGCGTCTGGAAATCGGCAACGGTACATGTGATCCGTTCCACCGTAACAAAAATTTATTGAACCGTAATAGAGCATCGATTTCAGCAAATACGTAATAATAAATAATTATTATTCTCTATATAAATTTTAATTTTATTGTGGTCAAAATATAATTTAACGTTAAGAAAAATGCGGGTGGTTGATACTCATGAAATTTTTTTTACAGTGTACCTACAGTGCCGGCTCGCAGTAACTGTCGTCTACAATTCAGCACAAAATTCTATAGAAGTTATTGTACACCAAGCTACTCATCGACAATCGACACCTCAAAGAAAAATACATCGTCCAGAGATCTTGTTCTATTTTTAAAGGAGAAGAGGATTAACATTGTCAAAATCGGCTTTAGGCCACGGTGGTGAAATATGTAATATTAAACCGTTTGGGATTCTTTGCAGGATTTTGTACTGCTCTTAATTGCGTTTGTTTTGCGATGCGTGAGCAAAACATGAAAACGTAAACTTAAAGCGAGCAAAATACGAGAAAACACGAAGTATAATGTTAATCTGGTAAACTGTTGCGCTTATCCTTTTCCTGAGTTACAGGTCTGTTATGCTGTCTCTCGAGGTCTTTTTCTGGGATTCTCTAATATTCCGGAAATTCACCACACACGAAATCAGTGGATGCATTTATAGTTTACACAACCAGACGGTCCAGACGGTTTTGAACCGTATCTCCGATACCTTCAGTAATCATAGTACAAGTGCTATGTTTGTGCGGCTGCAGTCCTGCACCATCGAAATTCACTTAATAACAGTTTTCGTGGTGTCCTTAGAATTCCTGTTTGACGAGAACAGCGCTGGCATTGTTCCGCAAATACGCTTCCAATGTTACGTTATCAGGAAAACGCCAGAGATTCCAATATTTTTCAGAGTCCATTTCCGGATAAGTTAGGTTAAACTCAAACTTATCCACCGTTTCCCTGTAGAAATACATATTGCCTTATATTATTTATGGGTCATTGGTACGCTGTAACCGCCAGCATGCCGAAATACAGTATAAGTTACTGTGCAAGTTGTATCTTGCAGAAAACTTGCCCTTTAGGCAGCACAAAATCAGCGGAATGTCCGGTTAGTGTGACGTTTAAATACAGATCATCCACGGTTATCGGATTGGAATCGGTAAACGCTTTATCAACCGCCGCAAGAACGGCTTCCGCATTCTGTAATAACGATTCTACGGTGACGTGCTTGGATCGATGGTGCTTGTATAAGTCTATAAGATATTGATTTATATTACCAAATTCCATCCGCTCACATCCGTTGGTTTTTCGGTAGACTGAGTGAATTCCGGTTCAATTTTCATTAAATACAGTGCAAACGTGCGGGGCAAGGGACAACCGGTTGACCCGGGGAGAGACTGGTTAAAGCAATTCGGTGCTGTTATGTTGGATATCTTTTTAGGGGTGAAGCGCACACCGGGTACCAGAGGATTGAGATTAGCGGCTAATGTATGTGGGGATAATCTCCGGCGCAGCAGGAAAACATAGGTATATTCTCCCAGCTCATCCGTGGGATCCACCGTGGCTCCATTGCGGATAAACAGGAAATTAATGGCGGTGCTATTGAGAGTAGGGTTCCAGATGTGGACTTCTAACAAGCAAAGCGTTTGATCACGCAATAATCAGAACATATTTGTGAAACTAATTTCACTTTGTAAGAAAGACTGTAAATTCTCCTTACCATCGACTGGAAAGGAGATTTTGAGGAAATTCTCGAAAGCCGGCAGGAGTTGATAATTGATTGGTGGATCTGGGTAGACGCGAAATACGTTTTTCAGCTCGACGGTGTACCTAACAATGCGAGATACTGGCTGGGTGAAAGGCGTTCACGTTTGTCGAACATTCAGTGGCCTTACAAGAAATCTGCAAATCGCCAGACGTGCTCGATGCGGCCTTTCGTCAAGTCGGACGCCGTGACGGCCATGTCGCAGCGGGTGATCGTGTACCTATTGGTTATTAAATTGAATTAATTTATCATAACCACGATGCACTTTATTCTAGGTGAGCACCCTCGTGTTGTGCGAAGCGCAGACAGTTCCGTCAGATTTGTTATCCTAATGTTGTATTGAACGCCCTCAAGTGTCGCGGGATTGTTGGCGGACAGCGCTCTGGTAACATTATCCATTATGGCTTCACTTGACTACAAAAGAGCATTATTATTTTGACAATTTAGTAAAGTACTATGTAAATAACTATTCGAAGTGGCTATTTTGCCGCAGTGTTTGTGGCTAAATAGCCATTTGGCTATTTTGCCGCACTAGGGTGGGCGAAACAGCTTGTTGGCTGTTTTACCGCACACTGCGTTAAAATAGCTGCTCAGCTATTTTGTCGCACTATGGTAGGCAAAATAGTCAGTTGGCTATTTTGCCACACCATTATTGCAGCCTGTATCGCCAGTCGCCGCGTATTTCAAGGCGCTCTGTGCGGTAAAGTGCTGGAAGTTCTTTAAAATAGCGTTACTTACTTAAAGCAGAATCTTACAGAGCGTTACAGAGCAACCAAACACTCCAGCTCAAAATGTGTCACTGTTAGTCGAATTAAAATTCATTTTCAAAAAAGCCATGCTTCGAAGGTTTTAGTCCAGCATTCAGTACTGTTATCAGCAGCACAACATAGAGGCTAACAATTGTAAACAGCTTTACTGGGAAGTCACTAAACTGCAGCAAACAGGCAGCACGAAAATTCCTATCTGGAGCTATCTGCAGCGTGCCTGATGGTTGTAGCGCTGTGTTTTACGGTTTCATCCGAGCAAAGCCCGTAGGTTCACTTCAACCACCAGGTTACTCCGCGTGAGGGTCCCACTAACAGCCGGCATCTCGAACTACATATCCAGTCCGGTAAGAAATCGTGATTGTCTAGGATCACTGGCTTCCAGGACCTGTGTGGGGTATTCTCGGTTGATCCGAGTCTGGGTCCATACTTCCGGGGCTTTTTGGCTTTGGTCGGGTCCAAGCTCCACCGTTCGGAGTTCTTCGCTCGTACCGTACGAATACTGTTTCTATAACGGGTAGTGTGACATTAGCTCAAGGTCCCGTTAACAGCTGGTATGCTAGGTATGACTATTTCAATCCGATCGTTACGAGTCGATTATATAATTTCCCTGTTATGAACATCCTTCTGAGTGATGGAGGATAAAACCTGTCGTTCTGCCGGGACAAATAAGGAGGTATCTCTTCAGGAGTAATCCCGGTCCGGAAATATAGTTCTCGTTTGACCATCAGTCAACAAATGTCCAGGTTACATATCTACCTGCATACCCCTAAGCCGGACTTGTGATCACTGTGGAAACCAGGCATTTTTGTTCGATTACCTCCGGCGGAAACTGCGGTCGATGATTCGTAGGGGGCCAGACTTGAAATTCGTATGTGCAGGGATCGTTTGGGTAGGTAGTAGGTTGTGGCTAGAGGCCGCAATCTGCGGCAAATTAAGTTCATCACATCCCCAATTTGGGATGTGTTAAATTAACATGATGATTCGGTGAGGTTCGTCGCAGTCCATAGTGGGCTGTCGGCATGTCTGTTTACCGGTTTACGGTGTGCTGTGTCTTCTAATGGCATCCGTCACATCACGGTTCGCCTGTGGTGCCCCATATGCCGGTAAGCTCGGAGTCCGTATGCTGCCTGGGTCTCCGAAGTCCGACGCAGCCCTCGAGGAACCGAGACACCGAGAGGACGCGTTATTATTTGACTGGGTGGCATAGTAGCGTCGAGCTAATCTACTGGCGACGGTGTCCTCCCGCTCCTGGGTCCCGACGGCTCGAACATCCGGAACGATGGCGATATTTTTGCCATCGGCGCCGTTGATTTCGGCCTCCGCGCCGACTGCGAGGTTCCAAACCGGGTTGTTGTGGTCGCTATTGGGTCACTTTTCACTGATAATCTAGTCATCGGGATGACCCTGTATTAACCGGTAATCTCCTGGTTCTTGTCGGTAAAATCGCGAATTTGAGGGGTGCGATTGGGGTTTTGGTGGTTTTTAGATTCACCAACCGGTGTATGGCATCACCTTGGCCAAGGCGCTGTGAGTTGGGCCCATGGTACTGGAACTTAGTAAAATCTTTGGTTTTAGTCTAGACCGGAACTTCTTTCGGTTATGAACCGGATCTGGATCGCGGGTCGATGCTGGTCAGGTCTGCTAGAGCTCAGGTTTAGCAATAGCTCGCTATGGCCCTATGCTACGTTGCTGACCAGTGTGACGTCACGTACTTAGTGGTCTTGCGATTAGCTCTACGTCACGGGTGGCGTGGCCACCTGCGTGCAGGCGATAGAGCAAGCCACAAGAGGTGTCAACCGCCTCGAGTGTGCGGTCTCTGAAATTAGCAACACTTATAGTGGTCTTCTTCTGTCCCAGCGCTTTGGTCGGCTTAATGACGAACACGTCCGCCGAACGTGTTTGCTTGCCCAGACGTTTTAGCCGGGTGTACACGCAAGACGCCGTTCACACGGACTGCCGCTTTTATTGCTTGACCACATGCCGGTGACCATATGCACGTTTCATAGCAATACTCCCTGCATCCGTTTTTCGCGCTCTTTTGGTGTCGCTGTTTACTGTTTGTGTGAGTTTTTGGAAAAAGTCCGGCATAGCGTTCTTTGTCGTTGTTGTCGCGCTGGCTGGTAAATGCAAATTGTGGTATGAATGAATATAATTGTGATGTACAATTTTTGTTCCCCGGTTGCACCAGTGATGCGCTTAAAGGTGGTTTCTGGCACTAGCATACACGCGGGAAGATGTTTCGGTCCCCCGACTTGCTTCATTGCAGTTGCAAGAGTGCGGCAAAATAGCTGGCTAGCTATTTTAACGCAGTGTGTGGTAAAATAGCCAACAAGCTATTTCGCAAACCATAGTGCGGCAAAATAGCCAACTGGCTATTCTGACGCAGTGTGCGGCAAAATAGCCTGAGGGCTATTTAGACCCTTATTGTCATACTGCGGCAAAATAGCCATAGCCATAACTATTTCATGTAAGTGTTACTGTAGCGGCTCGATCAAGTGGCACCACAGAGTCTGTGTACGGGAAATCAGCACTTGCAAAATGTACACAGCCCGTGCTTGCAAAGCGCATGAGCGTGCACACGCTGCTGTGTGCTGTTTTTCGCACACCAACCCTGTGGTGCCACTTGATCGAGCGGCTACAGTATATGATGTTCAATAAAATGAACGGTCGCTATGCCCTACCAGTTTCTGATTGGGTGGTGTCAGATAATACAGCGTAAAAGTGTCGCGTAACGGACAGCCAGAGTGTTTAAAATCCCAGAATTTCCGTCCCTCTTTGCAGTCCGTTTGAAAGACCTCCCACTCGGTGTCGTTTTTGAGGGCGGGTGGTGTGCGGGATAGAATACCGTCAGGGGGCCCGAAAATCGTCTGCTCTTCTTTAAGGAAATACCGCCCGGCTTCCAGCCGCGCGTATATTCCGTCCGCATACAGCATCCGGGAGTCCAGATCAATCGCCTGGTCATCTTGATCAACCACGCGGACAAAAAAATGGATGGCGGTACCGTTCTCCACGTCCGGATTCCACAGTATCACCGTCACCGCCTTCGGCTGTCGCTCTTTGTGTGAAATACAAAACAAACTTTTATGCAAATAAAAATGTTAAATAAACACAGGTTACGGGAAATTTTGGAATTAGGCCAGATGGATCCCAGGGGACGGTCGTCACTTAATCCGCTTTCCAGTTGGCAACCTATTTGTTTCTGTATGTCAGGCAAACGTTGCATGTTAACCGTCTCCGAAGCGAATAAACGGAATGAAAATTCTGGATCGCCGATAGAAGGGAGTCCTTGTATATGCTGTGATTGCGCATATATTGTTCCCTCTACGAAGACGGGGCAGGGGATAAAAGGTGGCAGTGGCACCTGCCACTGGCAACTGCCACCGGCAGTGGCAGTTGCCACAACGCGTTCTGGCAAGCGATAAAACGTGGCAACTGTTAAAAATTCAGAATCAGCTTGAGACAGTTTTGCCATCCAACGATAAGTTTTTGGGAGTATTAAATGAGTGCTGTTTTGGAGACGCAGCTGTCACAGAATTCACTCAGAATCAGTGTCGCTCACGATCGAAGCGCGGTAACGCTGCAACGCTGTTTTGGAGACGCAGCTGTCACAGAATTCACTCAGAATCAGTGTCGCTCACGATCGAAGCGCGGTAATGCAAGGTATCGTAATTATAATGCGACGGTAAAGCATTCAGCTAAGAGCAAGCTATCTCCAGAAATCGTTTGATTTTGGATACTACATTACACATAATGAAAAGCTAAGCTACAGGCGCGTGGCTGTAGGGCTGAGTCTGACGCTGACTACTAAACAGAGACAGACTATTAAAATTGGTCTTGTTAATTTTTATCGTTATGTTAGGGTTTTCTTAATTTTAAATTTCTTTGTTTCTTGGATTTCTTAGGCTTTCTAAAAACAAACAAACCAATAACTCTATGCAAACCTAAAAACCCTAAGAATTGTAAGGAACGCAAAAAGCGCAAGAAACCATAAAAAAAATTAAAAAGTCATAAAAGGCTTAAAAAATGTTTTGTCTATGCGAGTCAGACTCCAATGCCACGGCAGACACAATGCAAGCCGAATTGCAAGCGTTTCTGTCCATTGATGGATGTGGCAGATGTGACGGTGGCCGCATTGAAGTGCCCAACACCGGCTTAAAGTCCTCAAAGTCTTCCATTACGCCTAACAAACTATTAGACAACGAAAAGGTAAAGGCCTGCTCGGTTGACTCTGCCAAACAAAGAGCGCGTCTGGATTTAATTCTTTATGAATCTACGCTGTAGGTAGTCACTAGGTACTACAGATTTACTCGGCTTCCTATTATTTCGTCCACCATTCACTTTGTCTACCATTCATTTCGTCCACCACTCACTTTGTCCACTAATTATTTACGCAATTAAACAGCAGAGAACCGTTTAAACCGAAAAAAAAACCATTAAAACCTAAGAAAACCAGCACATAAGAAATCTACAATTACATAAGAATTACCTAAGAAACCCAAGAAATCCTGAGAAAACCTAGAGCATTGTAATTGTCTTCAGCATAATGTTTGGTGCTGTAATAATGTGTGTTGCATAATGTTGTAATCGTTTCCTAAAAAAACCAATGAATGAGTTGCGGAAACCTAAGAAAACCTAAAGCACTGTAGTCGTTTTCAGTAGTGTTGACGGTTGCGTCAGACCTACCGAAGTAGGTGCGGTAGTGTGAATCGAACCGTATGGTGGACAAAATGTACGGTGGACAAAATGAATGGTGGACGAAATGAGTGGTAGACGAAATGAGTGGTGGATAAAATGAAGGGACACCCGGACACGGATTTACTCGGTGTGCAATATTTTTAATTCCGTTTGTTTTCGTTTTTTATCTTTTGTGGACAAACCCTGAGCGAACACTAGGTTCGGTACCCCTCGTACTAATTCGCACAAAGAATGTTTTTTATAATCAGGATTCACCATACTTGACGTGGACCATGCACGTGCCCGCTTTCAAGAGTTTAAGGATCTTTGAGCTGTTAATAAGGAGAAAAGTGGTGCCTTCCTTCGGTATCTTGATTTTCGAATTTTTAACTGTTGCCACGTTTTATCGCTTGCCAGTACGCGTAGTGGCAACTGCCACTGCCGGTGGCAGTTGCCAGTGGCAGGTGCCACTGCCACCTTTTATCCCCTGCCCGAAGACGGCGCAGTTCACGATTGTCATGTTCGACCTTTCAAAAAGAGAAAATTACAAATCATGGCCAGCTGTTGTGTACTTCCGTGCTTATAGAAAAAAGAACAAAATGTTAAACTACGTGGTATTAAGTGACGGCTTGTTGTTCGAAGCTACGTACGAATTCGGATACGGACCATAAGACTGGGTGCTGGGCAAGGCAACACGTGGGGTCGCGCCGGCAATGCGCACGGCAGCGTTGTGACTGCAGTCTGACTCTGAGCTCAGTGGGTCTCGGTTAAATAGAGCGTCTAGCTGAAGGAGATTCTGGACACTGCTTTCTATTCGTAGAATGTCCAAATTCAACTGATTTGGAGGAATTCGGAAAACAAACGGCACAGCCGGAACAACTGCCTGATCGTAGACACGCACACCCTTTTCCAACAGCTTCTGCATAAATGTCCCCTTATTTGGATGGGGAATGCGTAGTCTTGGCAGCGCGCTCCCAGATGACTCCGTTTTGATAGCGATCAGGTTTGAGATATTAGACATAAATGTCTCCTTAGTTGGATGAGTAATTCGGCGTTTCGTCATCGCAGGCGTAGATGGCTTCGCTTTAGCACCGCCCAGGCTTGAGACATTAGACATGACGATAGTGTAAAGGTGTAAAGTAGGCGCGCAACCGGCAACCTGCAATAATTTGGAACCGCAATACTTTTAACTGACAGTTCGAACAAACAGCGCAAAATGCACGGCACTTCGTTACACAGTAAAAATACCCTGCGACGGTCAACGTATCCCCGGAATTCAGAAAGGTCACTAGACGGGCATGCGGCGCGTCGGTCGGCAATGCACTCGAACTATTGGCGTACTCATCTGTAAGCATGATAAATTGTGTAAACGATTCTTGATGCTTGCACATGTAATCTAGGAGTTTATTTTCTTTCCGCCTGACTAACATTTCAAAGGCTAAGCGGATCTACACTTTGTTCGCACAAAAATTAAAACCGGTTTCTTTCTCTCCGCTCAGACAACTTACGTCGTACGCTTAATATGAACATAGAAGTTAGAACCATTAGGTTGAGCTTCAAGAACTCATATGTGGTGAAAAGGGAATATTGTCATTAATTGCAGGTTTATAAGTGTCTTCTGCATTTTACCGAATTGTGCTTTCCATGCATGATTTAAAGCAGACTCCAATTCCGGCACCGAGAGATTGGCAGAGTGAATGGTCACCCGATGGTAGCCCATACGATCCGGGAGCGCGAAGAGCTGCTCAAACGGACTTAATTTCCAGATCAACCAGATCCAAAGGAGCATTCTTTCGCTGTACATAGAACATCACACCCTCGCCATCCAACTGTGGTAGTCGATACATAGCCGATCGTTCGGTGCTGTTTTTATCGGAACACAAGCTGAACGTGACCAGCGTATCGTTGATTTCTGCAATCAACAGTTTCGCAGTTTAACAGCGCCAGCCAATAATCAAGCCACGGAGTAACGGCTGACTTACGTGAGACGGATTGCTGAAAAGCGGATGGAGTTTGTAGGCCATTGGCTATTCGTACATAGCACTGTACCGCTTCAGCAGAAAACCACATTAACAGTAGCCATAACTGCAGTTGTGATCTCAGCATGATGGTCGGGAAATGTTATTATTAGAGGAATTGCCAAAAGATTCAAAGACCGTAGAAGCAACAGGTAAAATTTGTGCGTCTTGAATTACAACAAATTTTACAGCATGAATGAACCAGCAGGAAAAGACGGTTAGGTCAACCTGCCACGGAAGAACGATGGTGCGGAACGTCAACTTTCTCAGTGCCTGCGACAAAGAATAATTATGTTCACTAGCGACTACCTGCTTTTTTTAGCTGGTAGTTGTTTAGCTGGTTTAAGATCCTGCCTGCTTACCTGGAATCCTCTAACCTGTTGAAACAAAGTTAGAATTAGAGTTAAGAAGCTGCTTCGGCTTCAAACACTTTGGCACAAAAGGTCTTTTCGAAGCCTGATCGAACCAGACAAAAGCTACCACAGCCTTGAATATCAAAAGAACCATTTCTGGTAAGTTAAAAAAGCCGTTCAGGCGTTGCAATAAAACCAGTATGTGTAGATCGACGTGAAGTTAGTTTCATTTCAAAGAGCAATGTTTGCAGCATATACAAGTTGAGCTGTGCCAACGATGAACAAAAGTATTATGGTTTTATAAATTATTTTTAAAAGCAGGGTGGGGTTGGAAGTTGGCCGGAATTAAAAAACCCGTACTTACCCATTTCTAACCAACAATTCCTGTGATTGAACTATTCACAAGATTTTATGTCACGTTGCTGTTTCGTGTAGGGGTGTTGTTTCTGGTTTTCTACTGTAAAGAGCTGCGCTGTCATGTTTGGCCAGCAAACGGCAGAACTGAGAGCTCGGACATTTGGTTCTCGTGAAATCCGCAAGTTGGACCAACGCCTACCAACCCAATTTCGTGTTTTGCGGCTTGCGCAAATTTCGACACGAATTTAGTTGTCTACAATGTAAACTAGCATGCTTTTTTTGCTAGAACACGGTTTGATGATTTTGATGGCTATTAAATTTTTTATCGAACGGTACCTAGCTAGTTACTGTAAGATGAGTGATTCGCGAGAAAGAACCGAAAGAGTAGAAGGCCATTGTGTTCATCCACCCGGTATGACTGACTGTGCCAACAATCAGCTACCCGTATAGCGAATCACGCTTACCGCGAAGATATGCTATTTGTATGTTGCCGGTGGGGCCCACTCTTCTTTTTAACAGCGCACCAGTGGCGATCTACGGAATTCACTGTTTGATGCAGTGATCTGTACTCAGTGCGGTATCTCTTTATGTCTAAAAATTCGGAGCTAATATTATTTCGCTGTCTGTTGTCTGTTTTGCTAAATTTCACAAAACACAGACTCGGTTTTTTAGCGCTGTTTCCTCGGTACATACAAGGTGACAACTCTGCTCTATGTGACAGTACCGGCAGTGACGAATTTAATTTTTGATTAAAAAAAGCAATTGTTATTTTCTCCTGCATACATCACACACACAGGCTATCTGTGCAACAGCAAAGTTAAAGAAAGCGATATACGAATCAGCAGAGGACGTGCACGAGCAATTTCGCAGGAGCAACTATGATTTTTTTGTTAGGATCTAAGAAAGCGGCGGTGTAGGGTATTCCATCACAGCACATAGAGAGTTTAGTTGCCGAAACCATTAATTGTCCACAAACTGTACATCGTCTGCAAAAGGAAAAGCCAGTCAGCACGTGTGCACCTTTGACGCATAAGTGCGGATACGATCCAAACGTATTATTTCATACCGTTTCCGGTTACTTTCCACGATGGCTTTCCCTGAATAGCGCGCAGGTTATCGGAGTGCACCTCTCCGCCACTGTATACCTTTCCGGCATCCTTGTCAATGGACACAACGCGGCAACTCCAGCCTTTGCCTTTGTCGTTGTTAAAGGCGCACGATCCCAGGTATGTCTTCTTGTTCTTGGGCGCATCCTTCAGGGCGTTGGTGAACCCGGCCGCTGTATAAACCATACAATAATTGGATTAATAAAAATCAAGGGGGTGCAGAACGGGTTTAACCGACACTTGTATATAAAGGATTTGTTAAAATTACCAAAATTTAGAATAAGTGATGAAAATAATTTATTATAATTGAATACTACTCGTAATCTGCACAGTTTCGACTCACAGAATAACTGCTTGGATTTGACATTCCATTTGCTGGTGACCGGGAAATCGCTGCACTTATAGAAGAGGAGCGGATCGATCTTGGTGTCGTCGATCTGTTTTTGTGGAATATCATTGGATGCCGGGCGGGCGTTGGTTAATTTGTCGATGTCCGCATCCGATGCGGCTGCGCATTTCTTTTGGCAGCCTTTTTCACCGTTGCTGTAAAACCGGCAAATGTACGCCACTGGCACCGCACTATCCACCAGTGCCATAGCACAAACTGCAAGAAGATCAGCGTAATGGCTTACTGACTACAGTAGCTTGTTAACTGCTGACTATATAACTAGCTTACTACTTGATTAATTAATTTTTCTTTATAAAGAGTAAATCAGCGAACGGGTTTCGGTTGGTTTGATGAAGTTCTTCTTACCGCTTAAAACGACGACCATTCCGATCAGTTTTGCCATGGTACAGCGGTACAAGAAACGAAGCAATTCGGCAACGAAATCGACACCAAAACAATCTGGGAAAATTCAGATGGAAACGGCGGTTTATAACGGCGAAACGGTTATGTTTTTCACCGCTGCAGGGTTTTTGTTTATTCCGGATGGTCGATCGTTATAGCTGACACGTGGCGGTTGTGTAAGAAAGTTAATTACATATGATAATTTATGTAATATGGATGGCAAGGATGTAAAGTCTGCTGATTTAGAACCACAGCAACCGGTTTTAATTGGCATTTCTTGTAGAAAACGGCATGCAAACCAGCACATCTGTACAAACCAGCACATCTGCTCGTGGAAAAAGCTTTTTGTTCCGGCTGCCGCTGTCGCCTTTAGCCAGCTTTTGTCAGTTAAGTAGTTGTAGAGTGCAGTCTGCTCGATAACGCATACGAATTTGGCATCAGCTGTAAAATATCGGAATCCAGTTACCGCGTCCGGGAATCGCAGGTGCTGCAGATTATCCGTTGTTCCAAACCAAAAACTGTTGAATTGCAATCGAACTCGGACTGCAGCAGATACCATAATTAAATCTAAATATATATAAATAATAAATTTCTTGCGGTCAACAAACACATAATTTGCACTTAAAAAAGGCTTTTTGCTAATTATTTGCTGTGCCACGAATGTTGGCTCCCAGCAAATTGATATCGCCTAAAATTAAGCATAATCTTCCATACTGGATGTATTGCTATTTAAAGCTATAATAAATACGCATACATTGCAAATCGTAATGTATGCGTATTTATTATCACGATTGTAGAAACTGTAAAATGCGACAAAAATTAAAACCACAGTGCGACGCGAAAACTCTCTGCATAGAATGCTGAAGCTGGCCTTGAATTAATTAAAGTTCTTTCTCGCTTGCAAAAAAGCGAAACTTGAGTCAAGTGTTCTAGCGGCGACTCTTCTACTCTGTAAGTGACATTTCGTGGCCTTTCAACTGTCAAATCTTGTATTGTGCTAGTGGTTTTATTTAAACTGTACTAGCTCTATTTGGATGTTTTCTTGGACACTTCAGCCTACACATGTACATTAAGGCGGTGATTAAGCAGTAGCGTAAACAGCGGACGCCTGGTCCCGCAAAGAGATGTCCAACATTGCGCGATCTGGCAGGCGCCACACGTTCCAGTATTTGCCCGAGTCCGTCTCCGGATACGTCAGCGTAAAGGTGAAGTTTTCCACCGTTTTCCTGTATGCGCATTAACAGACTCCGTTTACAGTGTTACCACTTTGCCTTTGTCCCAACAGCCGCACTCTTTCTACAAGCTCTACGTACCCGTCAGATGTCACATTACCTCTGGAATGCCCGGATAGCGTAACATTGAGGTAAAGATCATCGATGGTCAGTGGATTGGCTGCGGAGAAGGCGTTGCCCACGGCATGCAAAATAGCGTCCATATCCTACCAATCCAGTTAATAACGAATTTATGCGCGTAGTACGAGTCGATACTTCAGGAAAATATCGATCACGGAAGCGTTCTTGTTTGCCCGGTTCCAACATACGGTTTTCCATTACACAGTTCAATCAGTGCAGCTAATGAGTTTCCTTACCAAATTCAATTCATTGTACAGTTCTTCGTCGCTGCTGCCCATCTTGGCCCAGAAAGAAAACGTTGCCGGCAGCGAAGATGTGCTGCGTGCGAGTGTCGACGGATTATCGCATAGTTTCCTTGATTGGTTTATGGTGCACGTTGTCTCTGGACACTTAAATTCCACCAACTGTGCCAGTGCATTAAAGAACGTCTCTGTCATATTTATACTACGGCACACATGGTCGTAGATCCTTGTGCCAAAGTCTGAACCGGGATCGACGGCCAATTCTCGAGTATTACCATAGACATCGGCTCCAGCGAGCAACACGTGAAAATCAATCACGTTTCCCGTAAGGTCACGCTGCCATACATGCACGTCTAGAAAACCAGCGTCCTTGTTTTGATATTAATAATAATGTTCTACTTAATAAACAAACAATCAATCAACCAATACAAGGAAGTATACATATATTATATACATATGCTGATATGCATAATACCAAATTAATATTATGCACTTAATTAATGTATTAATGCACATACGCGAACGCGCTTCTAAACCTTGCATTGTTTTATGACATTCTCTAGATAAGTGAATTTTCTATACAGCAGTAGTGTTGTACGGTATACAGCGACGTATAGCATTAGCAGCGTAATGTGTATCATACTCCTTGGCGAGGCTCTCAAACATCGGCAATAGCTGATAATTGACTGGTGCGGTTGGATAAACGCGAAACGGTTGATAAGGCTGGAAAATGCCTCTGCAATATTAAATGGACACTCACTCGCAGGTTGCACCATTAATTGTAAGGGGAATATGCGGTACAGTATATGGCAGTATCAGCCACTGAATAATAATATCCAGTTACGCAGATATACTGCTATACTCCTTAATATTTGCAAATATATGTACATCGATTTTTCTCATATTTTGCTCACTTGTTTGATGACATTCTCTAGATAAGTGAATTTTCTATACGTACAGTACTCTCTATATAAGACCTTTCTATGTAAGTTGCACAAAGCAGATTCCTAAGCAGAGAACGGTACTGACGCTAAAACCGTTTTGCTCACTTTAATTATATGGTGTCATATTTTGTTCACCAGCACAACCCCCATACGGCATGCTGTATCAATAACTGCAGATTTCTGATTGTACGACTAGCCTTTCCATTTGGTTTTTCGCTGCTATGTATTCTTATAACAAATCGAAATTGCTGAAAACTAAAACTACGGTAGAAAACTAAAACTACTGTTGAACTACGGTAGAATGCGTGGAAGATCCTTCTCCATTGCTCCGGTCTACTTCACGTTGTTCCTTTTGTGTTTTCATGAAAATTTATTGATGTTTATGCTTCAAAAGTAACGGAAGAACGTTTTACTATGAAAATTAGTCTGTAAGTAAGTTTAGTTTCTGTAGTTTAGTTAGGGAATTGTAACAGCTGGTGAGAAAAATTTGAAAACGTAAACTTACTGTGAGCAAAATATGAGAAAAATCGAAGTATAATAAATACTCCATGTTTAAAATTTAGACAATAAAGAAGCATCTCTGTCTTCTCTCGGGTTATAAGGTAATGTACTCGAAGTTAAAGCAGCCGTAGCATTCCCGTTAACAACAGCTACTAGGAAAGAAACACAAACACAATAATAATCAAAACACTAAAACATTCTTACGGTGAAGTGGGAAATCGCCATATATGTTCAATCCTTCCACTGGTCAAGTTGGACAGGGCGAAGGCCATGGTAATGCAGAAGACTATATATCTATTAAAAGAGCGGATAATTTTATTCAGAGATTGGACACTTGACACCGAAGCCGGGTACCCTCGTATGGTCCGGAATTGAGCCAGTGGTGCGTGACTGACGAGACTGATCTTATACCCTGCACCCATGACTGTCAGAGGATTCGCGATGGCAAATTGCTTCGTCACATTGGCCAGCACCGTTTCCATGAACTGCTCTTGAAGAGTGTGAAGATGGTATGGATTGAAAGTACCTGACTGAGGTGCTAGTGCGCTATTCGGTGGCACGATATAATGCAGAGCAAATGTTGGGCGTAACGGACATAACCAACCGTATGTGAGATCCTGTAGTTTCTTCCCTTCATCGCAGTCCGCGAGAAATCGTTCCCAATGTGGGTCGGATGGCTGGACGACCGGTGCGCGCGACAGGGCAAACGATCCGCGGAGCCAATCAGGTCGAAAGCGAGCCTCTTCCAACCGCTTATATATACCGTCAGCATACAGCATGCGAGAATCCAGATAGATGGAGTGTCTGTAGCTTTTTACCAACCGAATAAAGAAATTAATAGCAGTGCCGTTGTCGACGTCAGGATTCCACATAAACACCATCAGCGACTGCTTCTGAGTGTCTAAAAATTGTGATATTGTTATTGGTGTGATGCTTGTTATTGTGTGATTCATGAATTCTATCAGTGATTGTTGTGCCATAGTATGGCGTCATTCGACCGTTTTGCCGCACAATACGTCAAAACAGCCTTATTTGATTTTTACACACCTGTATCTGTAGCTGACAAAACCCAGGAGAAAATTGAACAAATTAAAAGTCTTAGAACGCTAAAAAACAGAGGAAATCCAGGAAATAGAGGAAATCCTTAGCTATTAATATTAAGAAACCAAAGTATCTAAAAAAGAGCCAATTGTCTATTACACCGGCAATGTTGCTGCAGAATTGTTAAACATAATTTTGGCGCAGTGTTCGGCAAAAATCGCCACTTCAAGCAGTTTTGCTTAGCTTTCGGCTAGATTAGTTTGTTTGTTTGTTAACTGTTGTGCTTTGTACCATACTACTAAATGATCTTCTTGTCACGCCAAGGCACGCCGTATAGACCTTGCCATTGGGCACTGCAGATTTACTGGAAGCTGGCCAAGCTGCTGCCAAACCTGACTTTCGTTTGGGGTCTTCGTTTATTAAGTTTTCCTTTCTTGATTTGGCCAAGTGGCATTTTATGCGGACGTCGCACCGCTTACAACACACTCGATAACCCACCATACCCTCGAAAACCCTCGATAACCCGATAACCCTCGATAACCCACCACCTTCCGACTGCGGTAGTCGGAAGAGTGGAGTAAGCTCTGGACTTCGTGAGTGGCCGCACACAATGCTCCCACTTCCGCTAGGCACAATCGGATGTCGTGCCTGGCGGATGCTTGTTTTTTATGGTTTTTAAAACAAACTGAGCTAAACCCAGGTAAACAGCTTGGCCAGTTTACAGTTATGATGGTAAGCTGGCCAGAACAGGAAGCCACAACATGGCGAACCACTTAAACAGTGCTTTAGTATCAAGGCCGTGTTTATGGCTTACCTATAAAGGATAACAGGATCTTCATGATCTGCTTCTGGAAATATGGTAGATCTTGCACAGTAATGGGTTTGGGGGAAAATAAACGGAAGGACCATTCTGGACTGGGCTTTGCATCCTGTGAATCGTCAGCGGTATCTGACAGGTTTTCCGTCGCGTTCATAAGAAATTTCTCGCAGTTAAATCAAAAAATCTTTGTAGATGAACAATTAATATAAGAATGCAAGAAACGTAGGATACGAGTACGACTGCCATGAATTAACGATAAATACTACTGTTCAGGTGCGCGTACTGTGTACTTGGTCTTCTTTCAGATCTAGATTGCCGGCGTAATTCATCGGTTTGCACGCCGGGTGCGTCGACTATGAACGGGATGTCGCTTATTATTTCACCCATGATCAAACAAGGATAATCATCTGGCGGCATCGGGAAAACCGGAGGCGTCGTTTCATTGTACACTTGTACGCCATGTTCACGCAGTTTCAGTATGAATTCGTATTTTGGTGTAGGGGCTATTTTGCGAGGGCGAATCGTTGTAGCATGCACTGCAGTCGCCTCAGCAGAATGCGAAGCGTTCGACATGACGATGACATAGAGTATTCGTGTTGCCGATGAACTACAACAATTCGTACCATACATCGTTTTATCTGTTCAATATTATGCCACTGCCGGCGGCAAACTATTGGTAAATCGCTGCACATCGCAAAATTCTTGTTAGGACATTCTACTTCAACGTATGGGTTAGCCACTCGATAAAATAAATTTTATTTTGGAAAACAGTGTACGTAATCTTGGTCCTAATATATACACACGTGTATCGAAAAAGTGACAACAACTTACCCGGATTCAGATATCCCGTCCTGGGAATTCAGCATAGATAACATTCGCACACGTGGCGCGTCCGTTGGCGCAGCGTTTGGACTGCCGGTAAATTGCTCTGCAACTGCAAGCGTTAGTTTGGTTAGTTTTCCCTCCCGTATGCCTTTTGTTTTATTACGGGAAATAACAACGGGATTTTTTAGCGTACAGTAAACTCTGTGAGATTGAACAACTGCGAATAATGGACGAAAGCAACTGCGAATATTGAACAGTTGCTTACATTGAACACTTTGAAGGAACCGTAGGTGTTCAAATTACACAGATTTTACTGTACTGGTAATTTTTCACCTATGATCAGGCCGTTACTTTCAAGGCGGTTTTGTCGACTAACAGCTCCAGGAAAATCTACCGGTTCATAAAACCAGTCTTCTTCAGATTGAACACCCAGATAAGTAATAACGAGCGTTTTTGCACCTAACCGGTGTGCCACGGTCTTTTTCGAATTTTGCAGGGCTTTATAAAAGTTTTGAATGTCATTGTGCAACCGGAAGAAATATCAGAAATTTTGGTTCACCCATGTACAAAGTGCCCGCCCACTTTCCTTAAACTGAATAAATTTTATGCTCCATTTCAGTGTGAAATATCGAACCCCATTAAAGGTGGCACTATCACCGGGCCGAAAAAATCAATTCAAAATTTTCGATCACAGAGTACATGAGTATATTGTTCGGTTAATGCATAAGCCTTTACCGAAGGCTGCCTTCCATGCATGATTGAGCGCGTCCTCCAGTTGAGAAACCGATAGATTTGTTGATTAAATGACAACCCCATGGAGTCCCATCCGGCGTGTCGGTGACAGTAATGTTTTAAGCTCATCCAAAATATGGAGAAGCTGCTGATCCAACGGTATATTCTTCTGCTTCATATAACACGTTATACTGCTCAATGCCGGCAGTTCAGCTGCAAAGAAGCCTGTTTTGTCGAGCCACCATTCAGCAACTAATCGAAATAGCTAAGCTTGCCTGTCTTCAGACCGTTGGCTACGCGTACATGACTCTGCGCTTCAACTGCCAGTATCCACATAGATATCGGCCAAAACTGCACTGGTGCTCCCCTCATGTTTGCTCTAATTATTTTGAAAAACCGCAACTTCCCTGAAAAGTGACCGGTTAACATTTATATTACCTTAGCTTTATACATATCTCTACAACTTTTTCCCAACAAACAAGTGATGTATATCAAGAGCAAAGGCGGGGTGATAGTGATCGTTGAGCTGGTTGTCGGGCGAATTTTGGTATACTGAGAAAAACATCGGTGTTTTCGGTTGCAGCCTCAAACGTTGCATTCTGTAACTGTCTGATTTCACGGCATGATCGCAGTTCTACACTTCGGTTAAATAAATCGGTTTCCTCACCCTGTGTGTGGACTTTGTGGTGGTTATCCCGTGCTTAATCTGGTTGCATGGCCAACCAAAATGGCACTGTACTGTAACGGAGGTCTTTTCCTTTTGAATAATTCCAGAAAACTCTAGTGTAGTTACAAGCAAAACCAGTTGAATAGACGAGCACCACGACTTAAGATATACGTAGATAGTATGATACAGTGTCTGCGTTCATTCATCCAAGGATATATTATTGTTTTTTTTTGCCACTATCGGCAGTTAAGGGAAGTGGCCCGGTACATGGTACCAAAATCGCGTACATGCCCGAAATCTTTCACTTTCGCGCACTCCCAAACCCTTTTTTCTTTTGTTTTATGACCTTCTGTAGTCAGATGACTTGTTTACACAGGCGAGAAAACCGTTTGTGCGCGCAACATCCGGTTCGGGAGTTATGGCTCTTAGAAAATTCCAAACAGTTTAAATGCATTCAGGTGTACCAAAAGTCTCATTATGGACCGATCTCATTCTAATTTTGCACGTAAATGCACATGGCCATGAAGATCGTTTTTACACCGATCCAGAGTTCCATGATTTTTTTCAAATTTTAAAACGAATTTAAAAATTTTTGAAATTCATTTTAAAATGTGAAAAACATGCTAGAACAGTGGATCGGTGTAAAAACGATCTTCATGGCCATATGTGCATTTACGTGCAAAATTTGAAGGAGATTGGTTCGTAATGAGACTTTTGGTACACCTGAATGCATTTAAACTTTTTGGAATTTTCTAAGAGCCATAACTCCCGAACCGGATGTTGCGCGTACAAACGGTTTTCACGCCTGTGTGTACAAATCATCTGGCTACAGAATGTCATAAAACAAGAGAAAAAAGGGTTTGGGAGTGCGCGAAAGTCAAATATTTCGTGCATGTACACGATTTTGGTACCATGTACCGGGCCACTTCCCTTAAAGCAGCTGAGCCACATTCCTCGGAACCGCTGTTGAAATTCACAAGTATACGAAGTTACAGTTTAGCAGTGACAGCCATATATATTTCGTTGAACGGTTGAAGAGAGCTGACGCTTAACCGAATACAGCACATTGAAAGGCGATTTGTATTTGTATTATGTCCATCTTTTAGATTTCGTGCTCGTGGATTCGGTAATCCAGCGTCCGACGAAATTAAGCACCAACAACAACGGCGGATGCATTGTTTCGCAAAAAACTACCCATCACTGAACGATCGGGGAAACGCCACAAATTCCAATATTTTCTGGAGCTCGTCTCTCGATGCGTCAGTGTAAAGTTAAACTCTTCCACCGTTTTCCTGTACATATTTATTCAATACAGTTACTTTTTCGTTTTCATGATAACGGGTTTCTTTTCTGCAAGGAAAGGCTATACATACCCCTCAGGTGTCATATAGTCATCGGAATGTCCGGTTAGCGTGATATTGAGAGAAAGGTCGTCGATGGTTAGCGGATTGGCTGCGGAGAAGGCGTTGCCAACGGCATGCAGGACAGCGTCGATATTCTAATGGTAAGTGAAACAAAACCAGTCAATAATTATTATGATGCCGGTCACGAAAGCCGGCATTTTGAGGAAGTACATAACAGGAATTTTGATTTCTGGACTCGATTCATCTAATAAATTTGATTACCAAATCTGGTCCATCGTGGGGTTGGCCGTTCTTGATGTTTTCTATCTTCATTAGGTGAAGAGAAAACGTCGAAGGCAACGGGCTGCGTTTGGGCGTCGATTGAGTAATGCACTGCTCAGGCGATTGGTTGTTCGCGCACGATGTGTTCTGGCAGCTAAATTTCATCATCACCACCGGCACATCGGAGAAACGTGAGGTCAACTTCATACTGCGGCAGATTTGGCTGTACATCAGTTTGCCAAAATGAGAACTGGGATCAACGAAACCTGGACCGTTATTAAAGATGGCAGATTCAGTCAGCTCAATGAAGAAATCGACGACGTTGCCCGTAAGATCTGGATTCCATATATGCACATCTTGATCTGGAAAACAGCCAGCATCTTTGCAGTATCACTTTAACACAGACCGGGTTATTTTTTACAACGCGCTGCTACAGTTTGCGTTCTAACCCATTTTCGTCATAAGTTGTAATTGAAAGATTAGCCAAGTAATTTTATGTTCAAAAAAGGCGCTTTCGTACGGTGTGAGAGTCAATATGACACACGTAGCGCGAAAACATAAACAAATGATTTAAAATTATTAACACCTGCACGATATGCATAGGTACAAACCCACTATGTTGCCCTCAAATTCTCAATACTGCACTAAGTTTTGCATCTTACCGGCCGATCGAAAACTGTTCACGTATTCCTTGATGGTATCCTCAAAAACCGGCAACAGTTGATAGTTCATCGGGGTAGTTGGGAACACGCGGAACGAATTGTTGGGCTCGTAAGCAGGTCTGCAATTTCGACACTCACTGGATAAAACCGCAGCTTTGGGTCCAGCCAATAGTCTTCTTACAGGGTACGAGGAAATCGCCATATATGTTCTATCCGTCCTCGGCGCAAGTTGGACACGGTGAAGGTCATGTCACAGCGGGTAAGTGTGTACCTGTTGTTAAATGAACACAAGGCCATTCAGACACAGACTAGAAAATCGAAACCGAAGTACCACAACATACCCTCGTAAGGTCTGGAAGTGAGCCAGTTGTGTGCGGTTAACGAGGCTGATGTGGTATTCTACACCGCTGAGGCTTAACGGATTGGCGTCGGCAAAATCCCTGGTCACATTGTATAGCACCGTTTCGTTGGACTGTAAACACAATAGCGATATCGGTTCACGGGAATGCGACTGATACAATGAACGCCATAAATGCCATAAATGTGGTTACACCGATAGCCGATAGCATATCATAGCGCTATCGGCTGCCTGTGTAACCACATTTGCGGCGTTATTGTACACCGTAATAGTAATGTACAGTTCCCGAGATCACATTCTTTTTCGCCGCGGATTATCGCTGTAAGCGCAACCGCATGATCTTCTTCGTACACACGGTATAATGTAGGGCAAAAAATGTTCTTCTCTGCTTTAACAAGTAGTGCTCAAATGACTGCTTCTCTGTTCGAACCCAATATCAGCGACTAATACTATAGAACAGCTTCTGTTACAGGCTGCTGATGCCTTCAATTACTTCCTACAAATTCTCTGAATCGTGGACCGATTGGCAAGTTCCTATTCTTCCAGCCCCCTTTTACGTACTAACATATTCGTACGCAGGTAAGACTTTACGAAGAGTACGGAGCATCGAAATACTTGTGGCGTAAAAACCGGTTGTCTGAGTGAAGACTGAAAACAGCGATTTCCTTGTGTTACTAAAGTACTCTGTAGATCTGGCAGGGCGTTTCATCGGAAAGGGAACACTGTGGTTAATTGTACGCTCGGCACTGCAAAATGCAAATCAATACCAGTGTCTCATTCGGCCGCAGAAGATAATGTAGAGCAAACGTAGGGCGTAGTGGACATGGCATGTCGTTGCGATCCCGTAATTTTCTCCCTTCTTTACAGTCCATGAGAAACTTCTCCGAGATGAGGTCAGGTTCTCCGGCGAGCCGTACGCGCGACAGCTTAGACAGCACACGATGTGCGATATATTTTGCGCCCTCCAGTCGTTTATAGATAGCGTCCGCGTACAGCATGCGCGAATCCAGATCGATATACTGCTGGTAACGATTAATCAGCCGAATAAAAAAATTGATAGCCGTCCCGTTGTCCACGTCGGGATTCCATAATGCCACCACAATGGACTGCGTCTGCTTATCTGTGAATTATAATATAATTTAATTTAACTTTGACTGTCGACTGTGGAGTATTGCGAATCGCTCAGCGTGAGCTAGATTGACCTTTACGTTTAGTATAAAACAGATGTTCTGAGTCTGAGAGTACCAGGGCTCAATTTGTGACTGACCTAATGCGGTTTCCAGTGTTTGAACTATCTGTCTCTGCAAATTTGGTAAATTTTGCAGGTTTACGGGTTCGGAATAGAATAAACGAAAGGACCAGTCAGGATCGGTTGTACGCAAGGGGGCATCCTTCTGATCGTTATTAGTTGACGACAGGCTGTCGGCTTTGGGTTTGATAAACACCTCCTCGCAATTCAACCTACGACTAGATTAGAATGTCCCCGTAATAAATATAAATTTGTAATACTAAACTCAAACGGCGCGCGAAAGCTTGTTACTAATTATGGAAATAAATGCTGCTGCTACTGCGAAAATGCGTACGTCGGCGAAAATCCTCCATCAAAGCGCGGTGCAGTAGGTTCAGCCCCAGTGGCTTCCGTTACGATCGGGATGTTGGTTCCGGCTTCTCCCAGATGTATATGACAGGCAGGAGGACTACTCCCAATCGCCGGTAATATGGGCAGTACCGTCTCATTGTACACGTTGACACCTTTTTCCTGCAGTTTCTGTTTGAGTTCATCCTTTGTCGGAGGAATCATTTTGCGGATCCGAATATTCGTTGTAGCCGGTCCCGCATTGGCTTTAGCTTGATGTGAATCGTTAGACATGACGACTGTATAAATTATCCGCGCTACCGATGACCTGCAACAATGCTAGCCATACATACGTGAGGTTATTTTTACCACCTAGGTACACCATGAAATCGTCTGCATTTTCATGGCCGTATAAATTTAAAAATCTTAATCGTACTATAATAACATCCGTTAGCAAATTGGTCTGCGGTGAAGAACGCGTTAATTTATTAACATGCTGCTTTAAGAATTCAGACGTTTGGAGGTTTGGTCAGAGGGGAAGACGTACCTTGATTTGGATGGTACAGCAGAATTCACAATCGACATTAATCGCACATGCGGCGCATCCGTAAGCACGCTGCTGGGACTACTGGTATACTGCTCTACAAGCACAAGAGCCATTTTCTAAAAGCTTTTCTGTTTATAAGTTCATGTCTTATTTCTGTTACATAACTAAGCAAGGTTCACTTACTGAACGCTTCCGCCCATGCATAATTGAGCGCGTCTTCTATCTGGGGAACCGAAAGATTCGTGGAGTAGATGGCCACTCCATGGAGGCCCATGTGGCGTGGTAATGGCAGCAGCCATTTAAACTCCTCCAGCCAGTAGATGTACTGCTGGTCCGATGGTGTGTCTTTCTGTTTCAGGTAAAACATGATGCTTAGCGACTGTTCATGCCCGTTTTCGAAATGCCGGTTAGGAAGAGAAAGAGCATCGCTGTTGGCTGCAACCAGCATATTTGGCAAATGCACCATCCAGCAACCAAACAAAACATAAGTTTAACTCACATAAGACAGGACGCGAAGAATTCTGTATGCCATTGGTTATGTGGACATGGCCCTGCACCTGTACTGCTAAGAACCACATACACACCGGCCATAATTGCAATAATGTTCCCGGCATGGTTGGTCTTGGGAATTTTTGCAAACTCTGAAATGTTCCCAACAAGTAATAGGCTAGTAATTTTACATGTTGGCCTTAATATGGGGAATTGTTACCGGTAGGATAACTGATGCGTATCGCGACTGAGTGCCTGGTGATAATGATCGCAGAACTTTAACCCCACCAGACTAACCTGGCTGTGAGAAACTCGAGCGTTCTCATGATTGCAATCGGACACGGTGCGCCCTCTTACTGCTCGATTTATCAGCGTGATAGCTTTTGTGCCAGTTAAATAGCTACATACATTACCATTTACTCTTATTTCACACATTGGCTGCATTGCCTAATGGCTACACTACCAACTATTATTATTTTGCGCAGATGCCGTGTAATTGAAATTGTATGTCAATTACGTGGGATATTTGCCAAAGAGACTAAGTAACCGCAAACTTTGAAGATACGAGCAAATCTGTATTGGATTGCAGTTCAATCTTCCGAGATTTTCCCCGCCGAGAATTGTTCCTCTTTAGTGCAAAAAAGGGTGCTGCTTCCGCATGTTTATGCACCCTCGTCGTCGTACAAACTTGAACGTTTTGATTTGCTTGTACAGATTTTTACGCGAACGGCCCATCCGTTTTATTTCCGAAAGAAGGGCATCGTGAGGGTTAATTCCAAGCGTGCAACGCTACCGGGAAGCCTACGCTTGTTCCTGGCTTGTATATTCATGTCCGATTGCCAATATTCAGTTTGTTACTATTACTGCACAATGCACGTCGTCTTTTCCTCTGCCGGCGGAATTATCCCTCTCATACACCTACCACCGTACGTCGAGTATCCCACGCAAAAACGTGGGATGTGTTATTAAAAGAGAAAATTAGACAGTGCAATGCCGGATGCCAGCATTCCCGGCACTTGTTCCGTTCTTCCCAACGCGAATAAAACGAGGATGATGGTGCAGCTGCACCCTTATAAGCTTAATATCATTGCGATTTTAACCGAACCCGTCCACATTCAGGATAGTTTTCAGGGAAATAATCTCTGCATGAACGCAAGCATTATGTTTTCGTCGCTTTCTAGCTTAATCTTCGTGTACCTACAGACAGCCGCACACGTGCGTCAATTTCGTTGACCGACTGTTTGTCCCACGCCTCCCATTCCGTCGTCAGGCTCCATTTTCATTCATATTTGACAGAAATGACAGTGGCTGCTTAGAAACACCATGTTCTGCACATCCCATGCAGTTAATTGCGTTCGGATGACCCTTGATAGATGAGTTAAATGGTGTACTGTTTTCTGACTTTCACTGCGGTAGAGTTTTTGTTCCGATATAAACTACGCAATGCCAAATCTTAGCTACAACACCTTGCTCAACCGTACCGATGTCTGGACCAATGGTTCGAGGTCAAACGATACCGTTACGCTTCTTCCTTTCGGCTGGATTTTTTCGGTGACAATCGGAGCATCCACCAATGCCGGTATCTTGGCCATGGTCCTCTTCGCCCAGCGTCACGTCTCCACGTTCAATGTCTACCTCATTAACCTGTTACTGGGAAATCTGTACCACAATGTACCACGCCCCTTAATGCTGCTTCTCATGACGTATATTAGCTCAATGCGGAGAAGTCACACGTGCTGCACGTTAATGCTATACTTTCAAGGTATGGTTGAAAACACGCTTCATACGTTGCTTATTTGGTTCTTTGTTTATGTGACTTTATTTTTAATTTGAAGTTCTTTTTATTTTAGCAATGGTTATAATTATTACTAAGATATAATAAGATTAAATTCTAATTCACTCATAATCAGATTTACGTGTAACTGGGGTTACAACTTTTTCTATTGAAATTAATTTTGTTAAAATACCACAAGGCAAAATAGATGAAAATGGAGATTTATCTAAATATTTAAAACCAAAAGCGTGAACGAAATTCATAGTAACTTATAGTACCTATTTGTTAATTGCTGACCTTTCAACCGATTTTGGTATAAAAAAGCTAAAACTTTTTTGACTTTTTTTACAACTCAAATTTCATTTCAAACCCTTTTAAAAGTGGCTCAAAACTATTTTAATTTGACCCCCTTTTCAAGGTTCGTCCATGACCGTGCTGAGTTTATCGCATCTGCTCATCACCATCAACCGGCTGTGGGCGGTGTTCTCCCCGTACTCATACCGTGCGAAGCATACGCGCCGTCTGGCCATCGGATTATGCATCGCCGTCTGGCTCAGCGCCAATACATCGCAGAATGCCGCGCTGATAATGGATGTGCTGTACTATCGCGAGAAGACACCCTTCCTGACCGGGCACTGTTACCTGCACAGTAAATCCATGAAGGAACTGACCGCGGTTAACTATACTGTATTTTGGATCGTACCCATGTTCGGGATACTGATCGGCTTCTGCGCTGTCTGGTATGTTCGACGACAATTTCTCCGCCGCATCGATGCAATGGTTCCATCTAGCCAGATGACCGATGCGCCGCACAGCCGCAGTGAAGCGGGAACTAAACCCTCCAAAAAGACCACAGATCGCAATATCTACCGGACGTACTTTTTCATGACTATGTGGACGATCGTGTGCTGGCTGCCCATCGCCGTAGCACAGGGTCTGGCGACCTTCAGCCCGGTGTCGCAACAAACGGCGGTCAACGTGTTCCAGGTGTCAGTGTTAATTTTTTACGTGGAGACCATCGTGGATCCGATTCTGCTTTTATGTGTTAATAGAGACTGGAAGATGCGCGTATGCCGGCGATTCTGAATACGCGAGTACTCGTAAACTGGATAGCTAAACAGTCTTATACTTTGTACGATTTGCTGCAAGACGGCATTTGGAACCTTTTGAAATGACAGGTGTTGTGAACGGCATCAAGTTGTAAACTGTAGCTGTTATTTGATTTTATTCCGAGATCTTCGATCTGCGCAGTCACCGCTTTATATACGTACTATTTAAAATCATGGCACGGACGATTGTATTTTTCTCTGATGATCATGATGTTTCCTCCAATATTAGCGAGTAAATGAATTAAAAATAATCCACCGGTGAATTTTTGGTGTTTGTCGCGACCGTGCTTACAGTCGCAAAACATGTTACGCTGCTTATTCGAATAATATCAGTTATAACAGCTGTAGATAATACACATTAAATAATTTTATTTTTCATGAAAAAATAGTAAAAACTGCGGACGCTGTATCATCGTGCTACATGCACGCGCAGCCACGTGGCATTGTGATTTGCGAAACTAAGGTGCTCAGTGTCTGTTTCTGCTTTTCCTGTGTAGCTTAATGGATTAACTGCTCCACGTTCAAATCACACGGGATTTATGTAAATGGCTATTAAGCTTACACCGCTGAGTTACATCCGCTATTTGAGGCGTGAAAATGTTTGTTTTAGCGTAAAACCGTAATACAGCGGCGCCCAGATCAAACAAGCTATGCAGCGGCTGTTTTCATTGTGCGGTTGTAATAGTGATTCCACAAACGTTTCCAAAAAGTTTGTATTCATGGCTAAAATCGTACTGAAACAAATCATGAACGCTTACACAAAAGATGCGCACTTCAACCGAAAGGTCATCAGTCGATGCTTAGACATATACGTCATCGTGTGGAATCTCTTACTAAAGATCAACGGAATTTGTCCTCTGTGGGCGAATTACAGCAAACAACCGGCATGGAATGCAATTTCTTCTCACTCTTGGATCGTAATATTAACACTCCTTAAGCTTCTGCACGTTGGCGCTATCGCGGTGCCGCTATTCTTCAGCAGCCTAAATGGGACTTTTGACGGTTTTATCGATAATGTTTGTCTGCGGCAAGGCGACATTATAACGCTGTTGTGTACACTCCTTATCGCTGTCAAATGGAGCAAGATCTGCGAAACAGTTTCCCGTATCCGGAACTACGAAGCGGAATACTTCACTAAATGGGAGCCACGTTTGTGTGTTATTTTGTTAGCTGTGACATTAACTTTGTTTTCCGTTTTTCTCTACCAAGTCGTCGGCTTGTTCGATCAACTGATTAAGCGCCTAGCGAGCGATGACATGCAGTTTGCGGCCAGTTATTACGGAATTCCGGTACTGCGCAGTCATTACATCCTGTACATATATACCGGCTTCGTACTGGTTCGTTCGTCACTGATCTTTTCGCTGTCGTCGCTGTTCGTAATGCTGTTTTTCACCATTGGCCAAATATTCGGCCGAATAAAGCAGCGTCTGTTAGCGGATAACGAAGCCACTCGACAACGAGTGATGCGCGATTACTTCGACATGTGCAACTTGGTCACAGCGTTGTCGGATCAGATTGGGATGTTTATCCTCTTGTCGTACATTCAGACGGTCATGTGGTTGGTGTGGAATATCAACAGTTTAGCCTCAAGGAGCTCCATGGTTCTACCCACGCAAGTGCAGATTTATACCACTTCCACTCTCTTGTTTCTTGCAGTTTTGGTTACCATCGCCATGATCCACGTACACGAACAAGTGTGTGCCCAGTACTAGTAGCCGTGTTCGAAAAAAGACATTTACCTTCAGTACGATATTTGTCGCATAGGAACGTTTTCGCTGCTATAAGTTTGCTAAATATACCGTGGTATTTCCGTAGCGTTATCAGTTTCTGTAGCGCACAGCTGATTAACAAAAGCAGATGACAGGAAACAGCGGTTCAATTTTATACTTTTATTTATTCAAACAACCATTTCCTGGACTTTTGAAGGCGTACTCGAGTCTCGAAATGCGTATTTCAGTAATAAGCTTCCTCGAAAATCATATTTACCAATTCGGTTCAAGGAATTACTTTTTCTGAGCAGAAGAGCACAAATTTTGTGTGTCGCATATTCATTCTGCAGTCATAAATAATATGGTAGAAGCGTTTGTGATGCGAGAACATCGAAGTAAGCTGCTGTCCAGATACAGTAGAAAATGACAATTACATACGGTGTTTTCTCCATCCAAAGCTAGAATCGCATAAATAATAATTTTGGATGTTTTTAAATTGCGTATTCCACATGTTTAGGCAAACATTTCTAAAGAAATTCGAGATCTAATCGACCGCGAACCAGCCGACAGCGACAAAGCTACGAGGATGTACGCGCATCTGTACCGCGTGACCTCGGATCCACCGGGATTCTCCCTGGCCGGGATCGTCCTCGTGGATCGCTCGTTTATTGCCACGGTAACACTACATTTAGCTGCATTTATTGACATTACACAACAAGCATTTCGGTTAAACTCGTCGAAGCGGCTTTGTATTAACAGGTCGTGGGTGTTTTGTTCTCCTATGGTACGTTTGTTCTGCAACTGAAAGAGAGTGGACCATCCAACACTAGTAGTGCCTTCGCAATACCACTAAACATATCTAAAACAAGCTAACATATGGAATTTTTAGATGACCATGATAATATCTGCGTTTTTCCGCCTTATTGGAGTTTTTCTAACGCAATTCTTCTACGGCGGTAAAAGAAATCGGAATAGGTATTCATAATATCTTTGCTGTATAAGCTGACCAGGCTGACAGTCTGACACTGGATCAAAGAAAAAAGTACTCGTACAACGACTTAACGTAACTGGATAAGGGAGAGGTGCTACATGTAGATTACAAATTATTTAGCATATGACCAATATTCTGGACCGTGAAACAGTAGAATTTGCAACAGAAGCATGAAACTCATCCAGTAATATTGCGCGTCATCGGGGCGTTGTTTCCGTAAGCACTCGATGAATCCAAACCATTTCCACCTCGGGATTCTTTCAACTGTAAGATGAAGGTGCCGTAGGAAAACAGAACTCCAACTATCTAAAATCAAGCCTTCATGTAAAACAGTCAGGTGTAAATTACGTTCATTCAACTTCATTGAAAGCAGAAACGGTGCAATATGATTACCGTGCCGATGAAGGATCGATTGATTAGGACAATACCGGCTAACGACAGGCCAGCGGGTTGACGGGTGACGCGGTAGAGATGACCAAGCAACTGCGCGCGTCTCTCGTGATCGCTTTCCTGATCGATCAACCGGTGCATCTCGTGGGACATATCCGCCTAAATTAACGTTGACAAACTCATTTGTGGATAACAAGAAGAATAATTTAATTCCATACTTCCTGGCTAAAATCCATAATCTGTGAAAACTTTCCAACGTTGTAGCTAATTCGTTTGGCACTCACCTGTTCATGCACATTAATCAGAGCCGCTGTTTCGATAATAACAACGTACAACAGGAATAGTACGCTTTGAATTTGCGCTCCCAGGGCAAGGATGTTGCTATCATTCCCCGCCAGATTGTTGATCAGCCACAAGACCCACAAGACGATTTGAAAGTAGAATAGCAGGAGAAAGCTTCCCAGCTCGTCCGATAAACGGAAGATCAGATCACACACATTCAAATGATCCTGCATGCGAGCGTTAGGAATGGCTTCATCTTTCCCCAGAGTCAGTCGGTTCTTGATGCGAAATGCCACCCGCCCGATGATGGAGAGCACTGCGAAACTCCACATGGCGATGTAATACGGTGCACCAATGTGTAGCGCTTGCAGTACATAAAGGAGGTATAGAGCAGCAGGTTCAGTTTCAAACACGGTGATCCCGTACGCCTTGGACCACATAGTGGCTTGGGTTCCCGCGGTCATTGCCAGCAAATCCTTCGCGAAGGAAATATTCTGATACAGAAAGATGGCCGCCCATATTACCAACGTCAGAGTAATTTGACTCGCCAATGACACCTCCCATTGGCTGCAGTACGGCGCTTCGTAGCAGCGGATCTGTTGCACGCAAACCGTTATGCGTTTCCAGTTCTTCGCGGCGAGAAAGGCCGACAAAACGGCAACTACATCGCCCTGCGTATAGCACAGATTTTGAATGAAGTTATCCACTGAGCCGGTTAATTTCTGGAGGAACAACGGAATTAAGATGGCGCCCAGGTGAACGATCTTAAGCACCGTAAAGGTCACCACCCAGGAATATGAAAGGATCGTCTGTGTAGTAGACGTGGGCGTTGCGTACAGCGGACACACTCCGGTTATCTTCAACGCTAACACCCAAAAACCCAGGACGAAACCCAAGAGGCGGCTGATGGCTTTTTTAACGGGATTTTTATTGTCAGCCAATGAGTGTTCTGTGGACTGTCGTGAACCGGATACGAAGCGACACAGCGGCGCCTTTCCGGGTAGGGCGTCGTTAAGCATCATATTCAGGGAAATCTGTATCTACTCCTTCATTTTGCCATAAATTACTGGATACAATGAGGAAAATATGTCATAATGTTCCTGAAGCGAAGGAGAGAGCGCGAGAAAAATGCTGTGTAATATGATTAAGTCAACATACAGCGTTGTACAAGGTAAAGTGAATGTAAACACGATGAATGTCGCACTACTGTGCAGCTGGGAATAAAATGCAGACGCTTCCTTTGGGATCGATTTCTAGAAGTCCAGAATCTGGTCGTGCGGATTGGTAAAAGATTGTGAGAATCAGCCAAATAAATAATCTCTAAGAACCGGTAAACGTTGCACGTTACTTTTTAGAGAAAAATCTATCTAATCCGAAATGGGCTAACAGAATCAGTTTGATGCGTGCCTTGCGACCAGTTCCGTTAGAAATTAAAATAGACTTCATGAAAACAGTTGCGCCATAAATCGAAAAAAGGTAACCAAACAGCGTAAAATTCTTACAATTTTTAGCAGCTTAGAAATTATTAGCAGAACTCGTTTCTAATCCAACAGAAATACTTCTCCTTAATGTAGAAAAAATCTCTGTTCGTAGGATACTTCAGGCGGCTTTCTAGTTGCATTTTTCTGCGCAATTACTGTAGAGTAACCGTACAGTTGACGGCTTTTTCTATAGCTTAGAGTTTAGACAAACGTACGCTGTACGAAGCTAGGAGCACGTTCACCATTCAGCTCTAATGATTTTGGTTGTTTTTTTAACGTTTAAATTTAACCCATTTTAAATAGAGTGGATGATGTTGTTTTTAGATCGCTTTAATG